GGGGGGGGGGGGGGGGGGGGGGGGGGGGGGGGGGGATGTTGAAGCTTTGAACTGATCGCCGCATTACGTCAACCTCAACGAAACTGCACTGAAGAGACACATTTATGACTTTTCAAAAAATATATACCATGGAACCTCAATTTAACAAACCTCTATTTAACAAAGTCCTTGATATAATGAACAATATTTTATGTCCCAGCCAAAGTTACAGTAAAATGTATGGAATAAAACTTCGATATAACGAACCTTGATATAACAAATTCTTCCATATAACGAACATAATCCGGAAGCCCAAACATAAAATCTACCTCGATATAATGAATTACAATGTCAACACGTGACAGAAGATAAACGCTGAACAGATCGACAGTCAGCAAATCCTCGTAATCCTTATGGTAAAGAGACAGCAACCATTCAGTCAATGGCTTATTATATGTCTTAGACATAGGCACTATAGTATTTTGACATCAATTAACTTCTGCTCTATCTTCTTTGAAATCTGGAAATGTTGGGTAGTGCAACATACCAACACTAAAGCCCATTTCCTTGTTTACATAGACAACTTTCTGTATAACCTCTATGTTGCAACATTTTTAAATCGCTACTCTGAAAGTGTTGTTCTTTTGTAAACAAAAGCTGCGCATCTGCTCAAAAGTGAAAATAATTGATACTGAAAGCCACTATGCTTAATGAATTGAATCTCAAAATGCGGCACTTCTGGGTGACGAAAATTGCATTGAATTGCGTTACAGAAGTCACCTGTGTTACAAATCAATCATTAACTACGACCTCGATATAACAAACATTTTGGTCGTTTCCCCTCAAATTCGTAATATCAAGGTTTTCGATGTAACGAACCCTCAATTTAACGAACAAATTTGGCTGGTCCCCAGTGACTTCGTTAAATCGAGGTTCCACTGTACATGTATTTAGTTTAAGTGAAAATACTGATGGCATTTGAAGTGTACTAGACACCCATTTCCAGTGAAAATGGTGTCACACACAGCATACACAACATAGTCAGGCCCTCAAGGGGTTAACTGATAAAATAAATAAATATCAATAAATTATTTCTATTTACTAGGCTAAAAAAGTTAAGATGTAAAAAACTAAACGTTTTCGGCACTAGGTCATCTTCAGGGTGAAGATGACCTAGTGTCGAAATGTTTTGACTTTTTATCTCTTAATGGGTGCCTAACTTTTTCAGAATATTATTGAATATTATGGACAAATAAATATCAAATTGATAACTTATTCAAAGATTCAATAATTGAACAACAGACCATTTAACAGTTCTCTGCTCAGTGACCTGGTCTTTGAATGGCAGCAAGGCTGGAGGTGACCTTGTTTTGATACAGACCCCACTACTAAATACAATCGTGGACAAAACTGCTTGGGACACTTATGCAATTTAACGAATTATCTGTGTTTTACCACTGAAGTTTGAAAAAGCACTGCTTTCCTTTTAAAAACGTGTTGCTCTTCCCCCTCCCCACCCAATACAATGTTGAAAATCAGAAGAAATTGCAGGAAGTAGTTTTCAACATTGTATGGGGGGTGTGGGGGGCAAGGTTAGTCAGGTGAAGTTTTATTCACGTCTGGCGTGTGCCCAAAGGCACCAAAAGTGCAAATTTGTCCCAAGACTTTTGTCCATGATTGTAGGTGCATTTACATGACAAAAGCGGAAGGTCTGTATCAAAGCAAGGTCACCTCCAATCTCGCTGCCATATAGCCTGGGAGCAGGCTCATGTTGAAGTACAAGCACACGCAGAGAGTAGCTGCGAGTGCGAAATCAAGCGGTGAAGCTGCGAGATGGAGAAAGTGAGCCGCTCTGATCTCTGCAAATTTTTTATTTCCACCCCCGAAACCGCAGAAGAGAATAAGTCAATAAATTTTCACCGCAAGTATGAACTTTGAAAACTCAGATTCCTCGGGAAAATTGTAAATCTTTTTCATAACAATGTGCAGGCGCGATATCCGTTGTTGATAAAGTTCTGCCGAAGAAAAACCGTCAAAGTTCATGTCTGGCAAGAACACACACTTGATTCCAAGTGATCTTGCTTTGGCAGTCTGGTCTTTGATGATGCTGGTAAACAGGCAAACGCCTTCATGTTGTTTTGTTGCCCGCTTGCAATCACATATGTCTGTGTTTCCATGTGCAGTCGGCAACACCACAAGTACGTCTTGATTCATTAACATACTTTCAACTGCTATTTCCTGCTCCCTCTTTAACTAGCTTGAAATTTAACCAGATATAGACTAGAAATTTGTTAAAACATCGATTCAGTAATACGCGCACTCAACTCTTCCTCTGACTCCAAATGTGGACGACTTACATTTTATTGTGAGAACATGCAGTTAATTACCGACTCCATGAGGATCTATTAAATTGCTCCTCATCAAACATAATAGATTGGCAGCTTTCTCGCCTTTCCCACTTTTCAACCAATGGTATTTATTTCACTTCGCTCAGGCGAAGCAGAAATGAAAAAATTACAGAGATCAAGGCAGGCTCACTTTCTTGGCACCTCTTCACCAGACTCCTACTCGCCGGATCACTTCGCTCTTCACTACTAGCATGCGTGACTCAAAGGTGAGCCTGCTCGCAGGCTAGCTGCCATACAAAGGCCAGGTTACTGGGCAAAGAACTGTAAAATGGTCTATAATTCACAAAAATTGAGTACCTGTGACACAGTTTTTTCATTGAATTTAAATTTTGCTTATAAGCTTAACTTATTAAAAACTCGTCAACCTAATTTCTGATAATCAAGCCTTGTCCATACTGGTTTGTACAAAACAACATGAACAAATCACCACATTTCAGTGTTTTCCTTTCTTTATGTCCTTTTGCTAGCGTCGTTGCATCATGTTTGTTGTCTAAACTTGCCCTTAGGTTTTCTCTAAATTACCAGCTAGATAGTTAGTGTGAATATAACCTTACCGATTATCGACATTTCACTTTTGAGCAATTGCCCAGCAGGTAAGACAACAGAAACAAACCCTGTTGTCATAAAATAGATGGCTTCTTCAAAACCTTACCTCGTCTGTTTTAGTCGCTAAACTTTGTTTCAAGCCTATTTTTTCTTTCAATTCGTTAAATTTTCCCTCGTAGGCCAGGGAACATATTTCCACACGAGACATTTCGAGTAACATAACGTCACTGACTTCATGTAGCGAAACACATCCTGTCCTCGTCACCACAAGCTCGTGACCCCCTGTCGTGACAGAAGAAGGGACCGTGACGTAATTTCATCGAATAGAACTCACAATAGACTTTCTTTCAAACTTTACCTGTTGCCTACTTATATCAAGAGAACTTAAAATTTGAATAAAAAGTGGGGTCCCCATATTTGTTTAAGAGCGGAAGGACCTTCAATAAACCCCATAATTTCTGAAATTATCTTCTTTCAGAAACGTTTATATTTGAACTATTCACCTTACGCTTTAAGAGAGCAGAAAAATAGAGAGAACGTTAAGCGAGAAATACAACAATGGATGTATTACATAAATGTAAAGGAGCAATTTGATGTACGTTTCATGATAAGGGCACTAATATTTAGTCGACAGGAATACAATATGTTCCAAGCACGCAGTGTTCTGGGGCCACATGTTATCTTTTACGAGTGCTTGCTATGCTCTCATTTTCCGTGATAATTTTTTACTCTGCAATAGAAATTGGTCCATATTCACTTTACAGATAGAAGGTGATCAATGCATTCAAACTAAATAAAAAAATCGTTAGGTCCCCGTGCTCGTTTCCGGGGGGAAAACGATGACTTGTCTATCGCAAGCCAAGCCATTTAGAAAAACCACCATTTTGTATATGCTGTGTATGTGCACGCGCTCGTGAGCGCGCGCTAATGACGCGGAAATCGTGCGCAGTAGCGATGCGCAATGCAATTCTGAGGAATCACCTCGAGGTGGCTGAACACAGTTTTCGTGTGCGCTTTTGCTGATGCAATTCAGCGCGCGCACAAGGATTGGAAAAAACAAATACGCCGTCAATAGAGAGATCCAGCGACGATCATTTTATTTACTCAACACCCGCGCTATTTGTGCCATTTTTCTCTATATTTGAACGCAGTGTATTGATGGCTTTAGTATTTTATTATAAAGATATTCCGCAGATGCCTAGATCTGTTCGGTACGTCTATCGGTCTCAGAACTTGCTCAAGCTTAATATGTAATGCCAGCTTTCAATTCCAAAAGAAAAATACGAAAAATTAGCCTCCGTCGTTGACGTTCTCCAAAATACACAGAACTTGGTTATTTCACATTGTTGTTTTGCACAGGACGGTTAAGAAATGCACAAAGATTTATAATGCATGTTATAGGGCGCCGTTTGTAAATTTATTATTTAGACCGAATTTATGCCATTTTCCCCTTATTTACAAATAATTGGAAATGCCACAAAATTTGTTTATAAATAAGACGCAAGAACTTGTCCGTTGATATGTAAATAATTATTTTAGGTACGTTCTGATTTATAAATAATCTTTTACCATAGAGTTATTATATATAAATAATAAACTA